GCCAGGAGCTGCTGGGGCAGAGCTGGGGCCATGGTGGTGCCAATTACCATGTCCTCCTCCAGTGCAGAGTCCTGGGGGCGGCCACAGGCCCTGTGGGGGACACCCCAGGCGCTGTGGGGGACACCCTCCTACTGACCGCGTGTCCCACAGGGTCCAAGGGCAACCTGTGCCAGCGGAAGTTGCTGCTTTCCATCAGCCTGGCCCTGACCATCCCGGCAGCCGTGATGGCGGCCTATTACCTGCTGCTGCAGACCTACGCCCTGCGCCTGGAAGCCATCCTCAATGCCATCCTCCTGCTCTTCTACGCCGTGGAGCTGCTGCTGGGAGTCCTCGTGCTGGTCTCCTTTGCCAGGTACCACTGCCCGTCCACGCCGTGCGGGGAGCCAGGTAATGCCGCAGGAGCTGGCGCGGTGAGCTGCCAGGCCGGTTTGGCACTGACATGTCCGCCTCTTTCCTCCTTTGCAGCATGGATTCGTACTGAGATGCCGTGCCACGCCAAAGCAGCAGGCACAGAGCGGCATGGGTACATGAGGCAGCAGGGAGCCAGCAGCCCCGGTGCCAGGCCAAGCCCATACCAGCAGGCAGCCCCTGCCTGCAGGCAGCCCCAGGCAGGGGAGGTCTCCACCCTGCCCGCTCGCCGCTTCACCCGCCGCACACGTGAGCGACCTGCCCGGCAGGGCCAGCCCACTGCCACCCGGGACATGGCCCCCAGGGCTTGGGACGCGCAAGTCAGTTTGAGGTACGGAGAATTATTACTTTTTTTTCTACTGCTTTCTCAGAATAATTCACTATTTTCTAATAAATATTTATTTTTACCTGGTGGCTGTGCATGTGGCTTCCCCTGGGGCAGCGGGCTGGGCATGGAGCTTCCAGGACCGCACTGCTGTGCCATAGCACTGCCCTGAGCCAGCTCGGAGGGCACAGTAGCCCTTCAGAAGGGTCAGAGGATGATGAGGGTCAGGGATAGCAGGCACAGGGCACCAACAGTCCCCAAGCACTGCTCTTCCCTCCCACACAGCAACCTTCAAACACTCCCACCCCTCTCATTTCCTAAAAGACCATCGCAGGGAGGAAACGCGACAGAAGAGCCCTACAGCGCCATATAAAAGATTGACAACGTCATCAAGTTTATTACACAATTTCCAACCTATCAGAAAGACAAACAAATCTAGTCACTGCGAGCAGGAGGGGCAGCGCCTCGCTGGGTGGTTAATAGGGGTTTGCTCTGCACTTTTCCCCACTATTTGGAAAGAAACTAAAAGTTTGTGTCGTTAAGTAAAAAACAGAACTCTCCCGCCGAGCGCTCCCCCCAGCACTCACCCGCTAAGCCGGCACCTCGCGGTACTTTACAAGATGGGTGGGGGTTTTTTTTGTTTGTTTTGTGTGTCATTTCAACCTAAAAAGACCTCCGGAGCCGGGGTTCTCCTGTCCAGCAACAGTTCAGAGGGTGACGCTGCCGGGCTGGCACCCGCCCTGAAAGTCACCCTGTGTCTCCTCA